TTGTAGAACCAATTCTGACAGGTGTCGCGTGCAGCTTCGCGCTCTCTTTGTAGAACCACAGCCGATGCGCCTGGTGCACCCGCTGCCTTGGCACGCAAACGCTCATAAACTAGCTTGCCAAAGACGTCCAAAATGTCCGTGATAAGAACATACTGACTGGGATAGAACTGCAGCACTCTAGTGTCCGACAGCATCTTGGCGCACTGTATGGCTATCTTCAGAGCCTTGACGCGCTGATCGTTGTGCCAGGACTGGATCAGCTCCTGTTTTAGCTGATCGAACCGCTGTATGTACTCCTGCTGTGTCAGGTCCATCATGTGACGCATGCTACAAGCATCGAAATTATCCAGCTGCTCTAGCCGATACTTAACCTTGTCGGCCACCACAGTCTGGGCCTTGACTTAAAAAAAAAGTATTATAAGTAAATAAAACGCCTAAGTTTATTCCTGGAAAAGGGTCTTACAGTTTTCACCCCCACTTTCCGTGCTGCTGGTGCATAGAAAGCTGGTGGATAGCGACAGCTTTTCATTGGTCGTGAAGCGATTCAATATGCCCAGGCGGCGTGTGCTCCAATTAAGCGCGTTATCCTCCAGCTCGCTTGTATGTCCACGCTTAGACTTGAGCGTCTGCAATAGGGAAATGTTGAATCATATTTTGTTGTTAGATGAAGTTATCGCAGTTTACTTACAAATTCGTTGGCCATCTGCGTAAGCGGATCATTTAGTTCCTGCTCCTGGCGCGCAAATTTCGAAAGCGGATCCGTGCCTTCCAGTGCCAACGCCAAGCTGAGAGGATTCTTGTCCGCGACCTGATAAGTAAATTAGTTAAATGTTTACAAGGGGCGGAGTTTTGCAGCTGTCTTACCGTGACATTGACAGTTTGCTGCTTAAGCGGATGTTCCTCTGTAACTTTTCTATGTAAATGGTTTTTGACAACTTGATAGCAGCGTGGCGCGCAAGACCTGTATGCAAACGTGTTTATTATAAACAAATAATTGTTTATTTTCGATATAGACTTACCATTCTAAAGTCGCCATGTCGTGCTTTTCGACTCTGTTAAATGCGGTGTAACTCTGTTAATCTAACATTCGATTGTTGACACTCCCAGTGAATGGCAAAACAATATATATGAAAAGTAGTTGGCAACGCGAGACACATCCGCGCATCTTTTTCCACCATTTATCCATAAAAAAAATTGTTTTACTTAGAAAAATATGGCAAAAGTACCGAACAAATGGCTAAAGAACACATGCAGAGTGTGCGGTAAATACGCCAGTTTCAAGAAATCTTTCAAAATATTTGATAAAGCCAATAAAAAGCTGCTAGGCAACATAGAAACGCTCACGGGCTTACGGGTAAGCGGGACAAGACTCTGCTTTGGCAATTATCTTATGCATCTCATTTGTTTATTTACAGCTGGAAAGCTATCTATGCTTACCCGAGCTGATGTGTGAGTGCTGCAACATTGAATTAACCAGTGCCGTCAGGTTTCGCGACCGCTGCATCAGCGCACAGCGTGAATTACTAGCGGGGCTCACCAAACAGCAGCAGGAGGGCATACCCGAAAAATACAAGGCACTTGTAATGGGAAACGAAGCCTTAACGCCGTCAGCAGATGATCAAGAAACCGAAGGTGACTCGGAACCTGAAACCGAAATGGAGCGAGAAATCGAGCCTGATTACCAGCATGCGGACGATGATGACCTGGTCAAATTGCTGCCGGAAAGTAGTGGAACTGTTACGAAAGTCAAATATGAAATTGGCCCCGACATGACGGATTTCATTGAAGCTGACGAGGATGACAATGAATCGTTGGTGGAGGAGACGCAATACGAATGCCTCATGGCAGACGATGATGGGAATATTGTGAAAATTGAGAACATGTCGAATCAACTGATAGTGCCCGATCCCACGGAGGTCTATCTGTATGATTCTGACGACGAGGTGGCCGTTCTGGACAATGTGCTCGATGATGAATATGAGCATGAGAATGCTGTGAAAAAGAGCAGCCTGCCGCCAAAGCCAAAAATTAAACCCGAAGATCCTCGTCGCAGAGGGGCAGGCGGTGTTTACATTTGCGAGCAATGCGGCAATCACATAAAGGGACGTATGGCATTCGAGTTGCATTGCCGTCGGCATCGCGGCGAGAAGGATTTCCAGTGCGAGTAAGTGGTGTCCAATCATATACACAAACAAATATAAATGATTTACATTTCTTTCTAGAATCTGTGACAAATGCTTTTGCACCACCTCGGAGCTCAAGCGCCACATGCGCAAGCACACCGGAGAGCGCCCCTTTGCCTGCCAGTACTGTGGACGCTGCTTCTCCGACTATACGACGCGCGTCAAGCACGAACGCACCCACACCAACGAGCGCCCCTATGTGTGTGGCACCTGCGGCAAGGCTTTTACCACGGGCTACATTCTTAAAAACCATATGTTAACACATTCCGGCTTGCGCTCTTATAGGTAAAATATGTCGGGTTATCGCCTAAAAGGCTTGGCTTTAAAAGAATTTCTTCTGCTTTCAGATGCGAGCTCTGCGACAAATCTTTCATGCTTCCCACTCATCTCAGCACACATATGCGAACCGGGGTGCACAAGCGTACTTTGGAAAAGTATCAGATGAAGCAGCAAATGCAGCACGACCCCGCCCTTCAGCTCAAATTGGAAATGGATGAGGAGAGTTTGCATATTCAGGATTAATAAAATACGTGTTTAATCATCACCGTTAAATAAGATTACAAAAAACCTATTCTATATTAGATAAAATAAACGATTGTAATTAATGCCTACATTTTATATACTTTAGGAATATTTGCTTACAACCCAACCTTTTCAAAACCATAGCGATAACTTATGTAAATTGTATTGAATTTATCTTTAAATAAAGCAAATAACTAATTCAGTACTGAAAATTGTTCTTTATTTACGAATATAATGTACAAATTACAACAATTGGTTAACAGCTATAAATCAAACGCTAGTCAACACAGTGCAAGCGATGTTACGCGCACACGCGAATGGCAAAAAATAACAAAAACAGCTGTACCATCAAACGACGCTGTTTACATATTTATTTATTGAGCTACAAAAATATTTGCTTTTATAACTGCACGCAATGCTCAAGAATATGTGCAGAGTGTGTGGCAGATATGCAGCCTACAAGAATTCGATAAGAATATTCGAGGATCAAAACATACTTTGGCGCATTCAAGTCCTTACGGGTTTAATTGTAAGTATATTATTTGTGTTTTTGAGTTGTCAGCTGACACACAAATATGCAAATGAAACTAACGATATTTTTATGCAGTTAGAAAATGCAAAATGCTTGCCAAACCTAATATGCATTTGCTGCCAGACAGAATTACGCGAAGCAATCAGATTTTGCGATAGAGTCGTGGCAGCACAGCAGCAGCTCCTGTCTGCCTTAAGCGAGGAGGAGCTGAAGGATGTATCCGAGGAGTACCGGGTAGCCGTAATGGAATATGCTGGCAACAGTAGCCAAAAATTAATCAATGCCAGGAACTCTGAGTCACAATCGGAAACCGCGGCTACAAGTGAGCCTGAGCCGGATGAAGAGTTGATAATAAAAGTGCAACAGGAAGAAGACGAGATAATTATAGAGGAACACAGCCAACATGGAGACCTCATAGAGTACGACATAAACCTTGATGATGACTTAGTTAGACAGGTGGATGAAGCACAGAATGCCGGCACCTTGGAAACAATAGAAAATCCGCTTGATGAGCACCCAAGAGCATTAGTCAGCGATGCCAACGAAAACTCAGCTACCGAAGACTATATCCTGCCTGACAAGGACTCAGATGAGGAGTGTGCAGTTTTGGACAGAGTGTTAAACGACGAGATTGCCATGCAAAGTGTCGGAAGGAAAAAACGAGGACGAAAACGCGTAGGAAGTCTCATATTTGTCTGTGATGAATGTGGCAATCACATATCTGGACGCATGGCCTTTGAACTGCACTGCAGACGACATCGTGGAGACAAACAGTTCCAATGCGAGTAAGCATGCCAAAAACGTATAAACAACATATATTACATTGACGTAATGCACTTCTAATATCTGTCAGCATATGCCAGGATCGCTTTTGCACTAGCTCCGAGCTAAAACGACATATGCGGAGGCACACCGGGGAACGACCCTTTGCATGCCAGTACTGTGGACGCTGCTTCACGGACTATAGCACGCGGCTGAAACACGAGAGGACGCATACCAATGAGCGCCCGTATGTGTGCACTAGCTGTGGAAAGGCCTTCACCACCGCCTATATACTCAAGAATCACATGCTCATTCATTCCGGCGAGCGAGCTTTCAGGTGGGGTTCCTCATTTATTATACAACTTGCAAACTCTGTTTAATATATTTTCCGCTTACAGTTGCGAGCTGTGCAATAAAACCTTTATACGCCAAACACATTTGGCTACTCATTGTCGGTCCAGCGCCCACAGGCGTAATCTAGAGCAGCAAAACCAGGGAATAAAAGTGAAAAGTTAATTAATTTGAAAGTTGTATTCATATATAATCAGCACAAACTTTTTAACATGTATCTGCTTTTGTATGTGTAGGGTATAATTAAACAATAATAAACTTTATGAAGCATACATTTGTGTGCAGAATGATGAGCTATTTATATTAACATATAAAATCCCAAATTTGCAAATAACTTTTTAGTTTCCAGACCATTTATTTTCATTAAAATTCTGAGATGTGGGTTAATTGTTATCAATATCGCATTAATTTGACATAACAAAAATTAAGTTACGAACTTCATTGTGATGCTTAATTCAGCAAATCTACTGCTATTTATATTATACTGAAATCAATAAAACATACTTTAATTATTAAAAAAATGAAAAATCTAAGTTAGATTTAATTGGTTAAACATATTCAAATTTTTGTGGGAAATTTTTAAAAAGCCAAGAATTTGTTTTACAACACTAATCATAAAAAGGTTACAGCTATTACATTCCGCACACATGTGAATGGCAAACTCAATGAAAACAGCTGTTGCTTCAAATAAAATTGTTTACCTATTATTTGTGGCGCTCAACCAGTTTTTTGTTTATTTATACAAGCGCACAATGCTTAAAAACATGTGCAGAGTTTGTGGCAGATATGCCGCTTTGAAAGAATCGTTAAGAATTTTTGATAATAAAGATGTGCTTTGGAGCATTCAAGTCCTTACGGGCTTGACTGTAAGTATTATATTTAATGTTTATCCGCAGACATTGTTAATTATATATCATTTACGGTAACGCAGTTGGAAAATGCAAAATGTTTGCCAGACCTAATATGTACTTTCTGCCAGACTGAATTGCGCGAAGCGATCGGGTTCAGCGACAGGGTAATTGCAGCACAGCAGCAACTCCTGACAGCGTTAGCCGAGGAAGAGCTGAAGAATGTATCCGAGGAGTATAGGACAGCCGTAATGGAACTAGCTAGCAACAGTTGCGAAAAATCATTCAACACAAGCCACTCTGGAACACAATTAGAGTCAGATGAGGAGTTGATTTTAAAACCGCAACTAGAAGCAGACGAAATGAATACAGAGGAGCATCGCAGACAGGATGAATTATTGGAGTACGATATTATAATAGATGATGAGGCAGTCATCCAGGAGGCTGAAGTACAAGAGATCCGAGCTTCAGAGGCCATGGAAAATCTCACCGATGAGCCCCAATGTGCGATTGCCAACGAAGCCGTTGATGTTGCAACTACCGAAGATTATATCCTGACTGATAAGGAGTGGAATGAAGAGTGTGTGATATCGAGCCGGGAGTTGAACGAAGAGATCGCAGCGCCAAAAATTGAAGTCAAGAAAAAACGAGCACGAAAAGGCCTCGGAAACATAATATTCGTTTGTGATGAATGCGGCATTCACATATCTGGACGCATGGCCTTTGAACTACACTGCAGACGACATCGTGGAGACAAACAGTTCCCGTGCGAGTAAGCATACAAAATACGAATACGAATATGAATAAGCAGCAAATATCAAATTAACGTAATACGCATTTCATTTCTGCTAGAGTCTGCCAGGATCGCTTTTGCACAAGCTCCGAGTTGAAGAGTCACATGCGGAGGCACACCGGTGAACGTCCCTTTGCCTGTCAATACTGCGAGCGTAGCTTCGCGGACAACAGTTCCCGGATAAAGCATCAGCGCACACACACCAATGAACGCCCGTATGCGTGCACAAGCTGTGGCAAGGCCTTTACCGCTCCCTACATACTCAAGAATCACATGCTCATTCATTCCGGCGAGCGTGCCTTCAGGTGAGGCTTCGATTAACTGTATGTCACGTGTTAGCTTAATTATATGCCCTCCAATTACAGCTGCGAGCTTTGCAACAAAACCTTTAGAAGACATACTCATCTTGTTACACATTTTCGGTCCAGCGCCCACAAGCGCAAACGAGAGCGTCAAAACAAGGAAATAAAGAATACAAGTTAAATGATTCCAAGCGCATGCATATGATTCAGTACGTAAATTGTAGAAATTCGGTTGACACTAAATTTAGGCCAAAAGAACAAGGAAAACCATAATAAAATATATGCTATTTTTTTAGTATATAAACTAAAGGCCAAAATTGCCTTTGCTTTATTCGGACAGCATATATTTGCACTATACAAGGAAACTATTTAATTTGAATTTGCACTAATTATTTGTTCAGTATTCCAGCAATTGTTGAAAGAATTTTGAATGATTTAACAGCAACTAATGCGCCAAAGGAACTTCAACTGTAACAACTACCACGCCCTGCGACTCTCCGGTAGATTGGGGCAAGATGATTGCATCCACTGTGTGTAGCTCGCCCGCCTTCTGTTGTGTCACACATGACTTTTCCACATTCTGTTTGTGAGTATTGGAGCGATAGTGAGTCTTTAGATGAGTTGGCCTTGAAAAAGAGCGTTCGCACAAGTCGCACCTGTGGAAAATAAGCATATGGCTTGAAACATATAAATATTATGAATAGTTTTTATTTTTAAACAAGTAGCTTGTATCTTTTAGCGCCAGCTCGTGAGATCAACTATTAAATACAACCATCTCCGATTTTCTGCTCTTCTCAAAACATTACTCAAATTGGCTTTGGAAATGCAGGTAATAACTACAGAGGCAGCCATGCCTGCTCGGTTGGTCACACACAACATGCTACCTTTCCTTATACATAGATATGTATGTATGTATGTATGTATGTATGTATGTATGTATGTACCTACTTCTTTTGAATGGCGAAGAAACCGGTTCTTAAAAACAACATGCATTTGTATATACTCTCGACAAGCCGAAAAGAGCTTTTTCAGTGCTTAGAGGTAGTCCGAGTTTGTTCGACTTGTACGAGTTGCAAAAAGCAACAGTTTGAGTTAGCTTTCAGGTGAGGCGGCACGATTTCTTTTTGTTTTAGTGCATATTTTAAAATCTGCGACAAATATTTGCTATATTTAAGCCAAGCAAGTATACAGTTATACATACAAAAAAAAAAAAAAAAAAAACTTGTATTAAAAGTAGAAAGTTTTCTAACTGTGCGTAAATACACGTCTTAATACTTGTTGCTCAAGGTATAGAGACACTGAATCCATTCAAGGTTGCGAGTGTATTTTTCTAATAATTCACCTCGCAACAAGCGCAAATTGCCAATCTTAAACCATGTATTGAGTGACTCTTTTTTAAGTTCAAATCCTAATAGGGTATTATAGTGTACTTTTAATTCCAAATAGGGAATAACATGCAAAGCTGACTCTTTTTGTGTGGGCGATACTTGAAGTGCTTAGTCAGGTTTCCATATCGATGATATCATTACAAATTTGTGAGCAGGTGAAAGACCTACTGCGCCTATTCAATAACTAAAGGCAGGGTTCAGGGCACAAAAATGTTAATATTTTTAAAAATGTAATACATCTTTTTACTTGCAGTTTCTGATTTTATAATGAAGAGCAATTTACTTGCCATCTTTGCTTTAACCACACTTGTGTGTAGCACGCGGGCTACCCTTGGTGGTAAGGCAGTTCTCAAGGAAAAGGATATGATGAGAAAGATTGTATTCGACAAAAAGACACCAGATGTGTTTTATTGCCCAATGCAGAAGCCGTCTTCGATGAACAAAATTATTGTCACGTAAATAGCATTGATATTCCTACTTGGCCGTATACTAATATACATATATATATTTACGACTATTAATTCCAACATTTAGAGCTCGGCCCCTACACAAGTTGTGCGAATACGAAGGAAACCCATTGCCAGCTGAATATAAATCTGACTGTTATATGGATATTGATGAATCGGATTATGCATGCAAGGAGAAATATAGAATTATGGTAAGCAATTATCCAATTAAGTAGATTCTATGATCGAATGCCAGATGCTTACCAAATATAACAAACGACAGCGGATGTATAGGAAACATGATATTCGGGATGCTCAACAATTATGTTCCTTGCTGTTGTTTAAGATTTTTAAATGTAACCTCATCCAAGCTTACATTTGCTAATTATAAATTTGTCTTATATGTGTATTGGGGAAAAACTCCTAATATTTAATCATATTATTTGACAAGTGACTCATTTGTTATTCAAGGAAATACGATAACTAGCGTTATTTACATTTTGCACTTTACACCACCCATTTATTAAGTTCATACAATGTACGAAAATAATTAATTTAAGCTTTCATATTTATGCTACGTATCTATATATATATATTGTTGACATATCACTTGTACATTTAATTGTTGATTAATTTATACCAAATAAGACATTCTAATACTGAGTTTTGTTTAATTACAGAAACGATTCGCCAAAGACGAACCCTAATACAATAATCACAAACAACACAACAAATTTTAACAGCTTATTGTACATTATCATTGCACCATACGCTGGCAGCTTTGAGTAACTGGATAACACGGCTAAATATCACAGTTTTGTTCTGCTGTACTTACCTGCATATATACCTATAGATACACTACCTATAAACACATTTACGAAATAACACATATCCCATACAAAAAGGCAAACTTTAACGAGCATTTATATGCGAGCAAATATATAAAAACTGTTAGTCAGTGGCTTTAACAATTCTATAGTTCAGTACAAACGCGGCGATATATTATTTTTCTAAACTACTAATATATTAAAAATAATTCTCGATGTCGACCTAGCTCAAGTAGATAAGTTTTTGAATATTTTATCACTGGAGATAATTTAATTTTAATAGTATTTAAGAACGAAAGGACATGCTAAAATTATGCTTTGGTTTTACAAAACTTAATGTTGCTATTGTTTTAAAAACCATATACATTATTTTTAACATATCTTCGTAGTATTTTGAATAGAAACTTGGTTTGGGGTATTTGAGTTATTCGCTTTTGTGTAAGTATATAACCTTTGAGCACATTTGTAAGCACCTAACAAGAAAGAGCAGCACTGTACTTGACTCAAATAATCTAAATGTTTTTATTTCGATTTTATGTGCCTATTCAGATGCGTAAATTTCCCCCGGGCAGCGAAGAGCCGTTCAACGGTGCCCGTCTAAAGCGATTCATGACTTATAACAAGGAACTCGTCTAAGCCGAGGGTATTATATGCATATGTGAGAGAGCACTATTCATTTTGGGACCTGATTCTAAGCTGGTTTTAAATATCGATCGATTAACTAACAGAAAGAACATTATAATTTAAGTGAACCGGTTAGATAATAAAGATTTGCTTTCATATACTTGCCTAAACAAACGCTCGCCCGTATGTACCAGATTATGGTTTTTTAATATGTAGGAGTTGGTGAACGCCTTGCCACAGTGCGAACAGACGAAGGGCCGTTCATTTGTGTGGGTCCGCTCGTGACGCAGTCGACCGCTGTAGTTGACGTAGGTTCGATCACAGTAGCGGCATGGAAATTTCCTGTGTCCTGTGTGCATTACTTGATGGCCCTTCAGCTCGCCGGCGGACAGAAATCGCGCTGAGCACTGCCTGCAAACAAGACAAGATATCTAATAAACACGACATTACTTCTAGCTTAACTTGACCATCTTACTCGCACTGGAAGGGCCTTATGCCATTGTGTTTGCGCAGATGTCGGTCAAAGGCGGACTTGCCCGTGACGTTGTTGCCGCACTGATCACAGAAGAACACGGGTAGCTTTTGCTTGGCGCGCGGCTGTTTTGAGACGGTGCATTTTGGCAATTGTCGCCGACGTTTTGTCTCCATTGGTGACACATGGTTCTCATCTTCCAACGAGGAAACATTTGTTGTGTCATCGTTGCCATTGCAGGTTTCCGTGTCCAAATGATCGATACCGTCATCTTCGTCAGCGTGATTATTTGGCTGTTCCACTTTTATGAGCACTTCAATGGGACTCAATGGCGCTTCCTCATCCTCGTTTTCGCTTGCACAACGTACACGGGTGCGCGCACTGCGACGTACACAAACTACATGAGTAGACGCAGGAACAGTTGCTTCAGGATCGGGCGCTCCATTGTACTTTTGGTTCCATCTCTTCTGGTTGCGCAGGCATCGCTTGCGAAACTCTATGGCACAGTCCAAATCATTCAGACAGATGTTGCATATAACCTCTGGCAAATCGGGTTTGACCTCCAACTTCACAGTTGGTTTAACAAATTGTTTATAATTTGATCAATGATTAGACTTTGCATTGACTTACAAAAACGCCGGTAAGTAGCTTTATTTGTCGCAAAAGTTGACGTGCGCTCTTCTCAAATAGATTTATTGCCTTAGTGGCATCCGTGTCGACTGCACAGATGCGACAAATATTTTGCAGCATATCTCGCAGGGAACTTAAATTGTACCTCAATCAATTGCAAATGTAAACAAAGCAGCTGTCCCACACCCACAATAGCCATTTGCCATTCACCCGGACGCGTCAACAGGTTGTTGTCGTAATACAGCACTGGCCCCAAAGTAAAACTTCAAATTGTAGGTATTCCCACTATTCTATATGTAACTATATTTCCTTGCCTTTCCCTAGCCCAGAATAAAAGTATACAGTAAATTCGCTTTATAAGTTTTCAACTGATTCTGCCTGTGCGTCTTCATGCTTCTCTACGTTCTGCTTGTGCATATTTGAGCGGTAGTGCGTTCTAAGATGAGTCTTGCGCTGAAATGATCGTTGACAGATATCACATCTGATGATTCAATTAGAAAATTAGATTTTAGCATTTATTGTACAATCAACTCAATTACTTGCCTAAACATGCGCTCGCCCGTATGTACCAGCATATGGTTCTTCAGTATATAAGCATTGGTAAACGCCTTGCCGCACTCCGCGCAAACAAACGGCCGATCATTGGTATGTATACGCTCATGCTTGAGCCTTCCCGTATAACTCACATATCGGCGATCACAGTATCGACATGGAAACGGTCGCTCTCCTGTGTGTGTGAGGCCATGGGCGCGTAGCTCGGCAGCGGATAAAAATCGCGCCGAGCACGCTCTACAAAATGTAATTGAATACTTGAAATTTATGCAATGATATGCATATATTCACAAAATCGAAATCTTACTCGCAGCCAAAGGGACGCTCCCCCGTATGCTTCCGTATGTGGCGATCAAATGATACCTTGCTATTTACATGCGTTCCACACAGCTCGCAGATGTAGATGGCCACTTCTTGCTTGGCTTTTAAAAGTTTTTTACAGCCATTTGTGGTATTTATTGACGGTTTGGGAAGTTCGTATTTATCGCTAATGTCATTTTCTTCACTTCTGATGTGCTCACTGTCGTCCGTATCGATGTCCGTGCTGGCCTTCATGATGTAGTTGAGGTCCAAATGATCATGCTCCTCAGCTACATCTGTGGAGCCCAAATTGTTGCTAGATTTACATTCTTTGAGCATAACTTGCACTGTTTGCTGTGGCTCCTCGTCCGATTTGCTGTCTATATATGTACTGACGACAGTGCAGTCGCTCTGGCGAATCGGTGGCCCAGCACTTGGGCTTTCCGGCTCCTCACTAAGGTCGGAGTTATCGCTGACTTCGACATGTGGCTGCCATTTCTTTTGGGTTTTAATGCAGAGCCTGCGAAACGACATGGCTTGCTTGAGGTCCGATTGACAGCAAAAACATATGGACACCGGGGCATCTTGCGAATCCCGCAGCTACATTTGATTGCCGAGGATTATTTAAATAAAATGCATCCCTTCTTGACTTGACTTACCCACAATCCAGTCAGCATTTGAATATGCCGCACTAACTTCCGGTTTTTTGTTTCGAAAAGATTCAAGCTTTTTTCGCTTGAATTGCTTTTGCCGCAGACGCGGCACATTTTCACCAACATGCTGAGCATGCATTACACTTTGTTGTAATGGGAATTTAAAGAAATGCATTTGCATATAAAAATGTCAGCTGCGTTGACAGTCACACATAAGCGCCGACACACCCACACACAAATAGTGGGTCTGTAACGTTTGTAACGGTTATTCTTTTGAATTCAAATTTGTACCGCCAATGTTTTGTACAATTGGTTACTTGTGTGAAAAAGTTGTATGTTAAAAATATAAAATAAAATAAAAAAGTCTTGCTGACTGCATAGAACACCGGTATTGTGTGTATATTTGAGTTTGTTTTTAATGCAATGCTTGGAAGACAATTTAAATTTTGGGAAATATGACTAGAAATTTGGTTGGGAACAGATTGTGGCTCACTTATGCCTGGGAGCTGTTGTTGTCCTCGTACGATTTGATTTGATTATGTTTCAACTGTAAGTCCTTGTGGAATAGTATCTCATGGCGCAAGGCATCCGCCCGTTCACGCACAATCTTTAAATCCAACAACTCCAAACGGCGTTTCTCGATCTGAACACGAACACGATGCAGCTCCAATTGCCTCTGTCGTAATGTTGGCAAAGCGCTGTTCGTGCTTCCACTCGATGTGGTTTTGCTGCCATTTCCCTTCGTATTGCCTCCACCAGAAGTCGCCGGTGTTTTGGTACGACGCTTGGTCTTTGAGCTGCCGTTTTTGGTCTCGACATGACTGAAAAATGACGTGCTTGCCGGCAGAGCTGTCATGTGCATAGCAGTTGCTATTTTGCTAGATTTCGACGATTTCAGCAGAGGAATCCGCAACTCTATGGAGCCAGAGCAACACGAGTCGCTGTCATCGGGTATACACATGCGGTTGGCAAACTTGGGCGCAACCTCGCGCACTACAGCCGTCTGATAGGGCGGGAAGAAGCACGTCTCCAATTTCAGGTCTGCAGTAGCGAGCTTGGGCTTAGGCGAGTTTGTCGATCTAGGTGTCGACCGCGAGTCCACAAGTAGATCCTTGCTGCGTCGATTCTTAAGAGATTCGTGTGATGGCTTGTAGCGCATCGCCAGGGAAGGAGATGCCTCGATGTCGAGCTTTCTGTTACGTATCTTATCAAACAGATGATGCCAGCATCCAATTGCGCGAGCTCTCTTTGTGCTGGCCAGCTCCTGGACTGATTCGTGCGATGGCTTGTAGCGCAAGGCCAGACTAGTTGATGACCTGGTTGCCGCCTCCTTCACAGTTTTTGGTTCCTTTATTAGGAGCAGATATTTACCATCGGAGGAAGCCAAGGTTTGTGACTTGCTGGTACTCGGCAGCTCGTGCTCGGAATTAGAGCTAGACGGGCTCTTAGACTGATGGGCCGGTGACAAGCTTCTATAGTTTACAACGGAATCGTAGACCTCCTCCTCTCCGTCGCATACCTTCCACATCACGCGACGGCTGCTGCTCGACTGGGACTGCGTTGGACCAACATTCTCCACTAGACGGTTGTTAAACGAAAATTGCTCATCTGAGACAAATCTACGGAACTCAGTGCTTACCAGACTTCTGATTTTTATCCATAGCGAACTTGTGCTACTTGATGTTGGGTTGAAATAAGAGCCCCTGAAAATCTGAAAAAAAATGTATGTGTATCGTTTTTTTTTTTTTTTTTTTAGAAAACTAAATAAAGTCTTGATTGAGTAAACTCAATGTTCGCCAAAAAAAGTATTAAATTAACAGAGCCTACTATCCATACATGCATTTAGGATTAACTAAAAACCATAAACATCTGTTTTCTTGTTCTTTAATTGTTATTTTTCATCAAGTGTATATAATTCGTCATAAAATGTGTTTTTGTTGTTTTTAATTTTCTTTCGTTATAACTAAATTGTGTTATATCTTTGGTTGTTCGACTATCGCATTTTAAAAATTGATTTAACATTTTGCATTTTAACAGAAATTATATATATATAAGTATTATACAATTAAAGTTGCCAACATAAGATTAGTTTAGGTGTGTCTTACTACTTTTAAATGGTTTTGATTTAATGGGTTCGCGATGCACCAATAAATAGCATGAGATTTTGTTCTGACTAGAAGGAGTTAATCGTGAAGCAACCACAAAGTTGACCCAACGATCTTGAGAAACAGATTGACTAGCATTTGGTGTGCAGACTTTTATGAGATGCAATGAGTTCAAATGGATTTCGAGGTTGGGGAAACATTTTGTAAATTGTTGTTAAATGGCTCATCTAAGTTTCAATTCTCATCTACTTATACATTGATTTACAATGGTTTTCACTAGATTTATATAAAGTAGTTCTTTAAAGTACACACATTGCCTTTTGAACTTGTCGTGGGCCAGTTTTGAAATTTTCTATTTTAATTGTATTTGTTACGGTTTTTCTTTAAGTATTAACTATTCTTTGTATTATTGTTGGGTAAACTTGTTGCAGAATTTACATGGTTTTCTTCACTAGGCAATAACATGTTTTCCATTGGGATTTTTTTTTTTTAATTATTTACTAATATGCCTAAGGGCTCGAGTTTTTAATTTATGTAATTTTTACATATTAAGTTTGAATTCTCCTGGGCGTATGGGCACATTTCTTATGTGTACAAAAAACATTGTCTTACAAATGTGAAAATGAATCAAGTTCGAGCTTTTTGGCTGTCTTGTTGTATTGGTTCCAATTGATGCTTAAATGTTAACAATTATTCTCGTATATAAAACCGTTTTAAGTAAATGTATATGTATATATATATACACATATATGTATGCTATCATCAACCTTACTATACACAAGTAGAGATGTATATACTATATGCTATATGTTATATGTTATATATGTATATGTATATATGTTGGCTTGCGGACCATCTCATTTCTCATGTCTCATAATTCAATTCATCTGTTTGTATATTGCTAATCTGTGTTATTATTTTTTTTTTTGTTAAGTACATATATATGCAGTACTGTGTAAATGTCTCGTCTTGGGGCTGTTGCTTGTATGTTACTAATCATAAGTTACTGGACGACACATTGAAAATACGAAGACTATGGCGTACCACACCTCGGTCAGGTAGAGTGCGATCTGCAGCGTACAAAGGCAGTATTCCAGACGCAGCCTGTAGGTCTGCAGCAGCAGCAGATACGAGACGCCCAGAAAGCAGGGAGCGGTCAGAAAGACCGACAGTATGGCAGACCAGCCTGCAGATAAAAAAGCAAAACATTAGTCAAAACAAAAACAACATTGATAACAACTATAAATAGACAATGTGCCAAATTGAACGGCCGCCAATGACGCCTACCTCGCTCGGCCAGCGTCCCCTTGCGCCCCATTATTAAACGAAACGTCTCCACCACAATAAAGCTTATCATCACCGCCGAATCCTGAGCGAGCGTGTGACCCGTATAGCTCAGATTGATTGCCTTCAGCAATCCCATGGCCATTTCGCAGCAGGCGAACATGCCAAAGTAGAAGCTGTTCAAGTAGATTAGCACCTCGTAGTTCATGCTGGGATTCGGCTTCTTTGGCACCAGCGGCGGCGGTCGCTTTGGCGGCATTTTAACTAACTAGCTTACGCTGACCCTCTCCCTCCACGTATCCACTAAATTCACTGTTTCACTGTTTCGCTGGGATCCCGACAGCGATCGCGTCGACGCGCTCAACGTTGCTCACGTTGGGCGCTATATTTTTAGACTGAACATAATAATAATGTAGACCTGATGTGTCGGCCATTGGCTCAGTTGTGGCCGTTTGCTGCTGTTGTCGCCGCTCATTTTGTTGTTATTTATTTGAATTATTATGTGCTGGTCGTTGTCGCCATTGGGTACTTAAAATCTGTTTCTTAGTTGTGTTTAGCTGCATTTTGGCTAGGGCTGCCCAATGAATGACCTGCCCCTAGACGGCAGATTTAGCAAACTAAAAATCAAATGAAAAAAGTAACCTACAGCTTAATTACATATAAAATGAAATTGTAATTAACAAATGTAAAGAGATAATTACAGTAAATCTAATCACTGACTTTTCTATACGGTTAAAAAAATAAAACTCTAGTCGGAATTCTTCTAGCCAAATAAGTTCGTGTGTTAATAAAACTTTTGGTAACTTGTAGTTAAAGCACCTTCTGCAATATAATTTAAAAATCTCTCTTCGATGTATTTAAACATATTCTATAATTCTACTTTTAATTCCTTTAAGTCTATATTCACTTTATTACATGTAATATTTAATGAAATGAAATCTAAATATTTCTGTAGAGTTCTTTTGGCGATTGATTGCGTCCAACGAGTCTAGCTGGCCTAATCTAAGTAGCCGTCTCCCGGTTGGCTACGTATATACTATTACACTTGAATTAGAAGTGTGTATTGCACCTATAATGAGCAGCGACAACGATGCCAGCCGGCAGAGACGACTGCGTATGTGGAGACTGCACTCGTATATGTATATAATTTTAGATCATTATAAGCGTATAAAAATACACCAACAACGAGCGAGTCCGAGTCAATGCGCCAGGCGACAAAGGCCGGACAAAAGAATGCGCTCCGAATTCAAATCAAATGCCGCTTTTGATCGAAACGGACGAGTCGAGTCGAGTCGCGTTGCGTTGCGTTGCGTCGTGATTTGTTGCCCAACACGTAATAAACCTTATATAAGATATGGGGTTTTTATACAAACCTCGTTAGTAAAGCGTTTGCTCGGTTCCTTATCGGTTTTATATGGTTGGCATTGTTTCTTTGTTCGGTGTTTGGTGCTGCGAGAACTGACTGCAGGAATACGCCAGCGTATTTATGGTAGTTCATTGTTATAATATCTTGTCTTCCATAGACCTCTTCTATATGAAGTGTTGATCCTTAAAGTCGTTGGTGTGTGTGCGTGTGTGCTTTAGTGGCTTACATCCTACATCCAAATCGCTCAACGTAAACGTAAACTGCTTCACGTAATTATACCAAGTGATGCGTTGTCGTCGTCGTTCTGTTCCATCTCCAGCTCCAGCTGCAGCTGCTAATGCCGCACCTGGGTCAAGCAATGCTGCCGTTGGCTTGGCCATGGACATCGACGTGGCAACGTTGACCAACTGCTAGGTGTATGTAACGGGTCGACACATTGTACAAATGAATATGCTGGCATAGACTAGTTCAGCACCTTGTAGGGTGATCATTAAGGCACTCAGAATAATTTCGAGTTTGAGAACATAAGTTTGAAAACAACACAAATAGATAACAATAGCAAGACTGGGCAGTGTTAATATTACGGATGCGGTTGCTTGCCAGCCTGTGGAATCAAAAAAATAAGAAATGAGAACAATTAGTAAAACTGTTGAAATGCAATAAATTAAATAGACGCCTAATATCAAGTGTTCTTAAATATACTTATAGGCGAACCAAAAGAGTGCGTTCTATTCAATGATTGTTGAGTTTTAAGAGTTTAAACAAAATCTAAGTGTTACTAACTATTAAGACAAGCTTAGTTGGGCTTGGTCTTATGAAATTTAATGTGAAAATAAAAACTGTATAAACTCATTTTCGAAAGAAGTTGTCTTCAAGTTACCGAAACAAAAACAAAGCTGCTTCTACGACAAGTATTAATCAATTAATTGGCTTATCAAAAAACGACGTAGCTAAATTGATAATCAATCATACTAAGCCTTATTTATGTATCTGAATTGGATCAGTTCTGCTTTGTGTGTAAAGAACACAAGTAAAGGTGCTCTATTTAGGTATGCCCGACTAGGGATTGCCCTGAACCCCACGCCGAGCAGACGTCTTTGGGCACTTTCTAAAGTGTCTGTGATTCCTTTACTTTCAGATTTACCCTAGAACAACGATTGTTTCAATACAAAGGGCAATAGAACTAAACAATTTCTGAGGAAACGGTGGGAGATATTCTAAAAGTCAAAAAGTCACAGCAATCGCTTCGATTAGGTTCCCAATGCTTAACTTTTAATTTGCACACTTTGGGACTAAGGGGAATATTAATACAGAAAAATAGAGTAAAAGTCTACTAAGGGAAGCCCTAACTTGGTGAACTCCAACAGAAATATAATTTCTCAAGTCCGAACGACTTGTAGAGTTTTGTTCACAGTTATCAGACAATAAATAATTTTTCAGTTCAATTGAAAGCCGGTTTGCATCCCTTGGCTTTAGCTATAGAAATGAGCAAAATTACGCATACGCCATGTTGCGTGTGAACACGTTTATGAGCTGTGAGGAGGGATGGGGCCCTGAGAGGGGGAAGGGGGATGGGAATACAAAACAATGATGACGCTTGTCGCGCCATGAAGACCGCAACAAATAATTCGAACATGTCATCATAGCAGCCACATCCACCACCCCCAACAGCCTCCAGCTCCAGCTCGTCAGTCAACTGTTGAGTTGTCCGCACCGCACAGCTCATTAAGTAAACAAATACGAGTGGTAAACATAAAAGGAGCGCTACCCATGTATTTAAGTTTACACGTATGTACCGTATGTGCGTGTGTGTGTCAGTGTGTGTGTGTGTCGAAGAGGAGGCGTATTCGACTTCGCCCTTCTTTGGATTACTCACCACGATCGCTGAGGCTACTCTTGCGGCCAAAGACAATGCGCAGCGTTTCGATGATGCACAGCGAGAGAAGAATGGTCGCCTCACGTGACAGAACGTTTTCGCCATAATTCAGATTGATTGCCTTTAGCACGCCCACGCCCACCTCGAAGGCGGCATACATGCCAAAATAGAACGAGTTCAAATACATGAGTATCTCATATATGAGGCTGGCGTTCATCTTGCTGTTGCTGTTGTTGTGGTTGTTGCTGCTGCCGCTGCCGCTTCTATTGTTGTTGTTGTTGCTGCTGCTGCTGCTGTTGTTGTTGTTGTTCTTGTTGTTGCCGTCAACCTAGGGCAGACACTGCCCTTCGTTGCCCGCTGTCACCGGGGCAGCTTGAAGCAGCAGCAGCGCTGCCAATGTATGAAGAGATGTTCGATTTAAAGTTGTTTTTGTAGTTTATGTAGACAAGTGGTCCAGGCAGCAGCAGCGGCAGCAGCAGCAGCAGCAGGTGGCTCATACGCACACACACATGCTGACATATATGTAAGTGTGTGGAAGTGCGTGTGTGTGCGTAGCACTGGGCGGGGAACTGGAACTGTTTTTGCCTTGACTTGACGGCGCTCCGCTCTTGGTGTATTTTTAATTGTGTCTGCCCATATGCATATTTATTTTATCGCCTTATCGTTGCTTTTCTTGTTGTTGTTATTGCTGCTGCTGTTGTTGTTTGTCGTTGTCATGGGAGTCTCCTCGTCGCGCTGGTAACACAGTAACCTGCAGTACGTTTGTACATGTGTGTGTGTGTGCAACTATTTAATATATGCGTGAAAATTGTTAAAAAATAACCACGGCGCTTATATAAAAACCAATTTAGCAATTGCTGCTCCGCTCTTGCACACGCACACAACAACAATGCCGCGTAACTTTATGACACGCATACGAACACAACCCACTGCCAAAGGATTGACACGCCATACACACAAAATAGCTTTGTTTTGCAGGCCTTTTTGGCTTTTCACGTAAATAATTTACAAATTTTTGGCTTTTATGGTGCTGTTGTACTTTGCCTGCACATGTGGAGTATATTTGGATTGTTCCATGAGTGAACATAAGAGTTGTTCACTGAACTGGGTTAATGAGCTTGTTCTTCTTAACAGTTCTGTTTCACAGTAGTTCCTTTACTCATTCGTTCCTGTGCTCTGTCACACAAGTTTCTATAGGAATGTTTGCATATTTAAGTGTGACAACAAATTGTTAAATATTAAACAAAAAAAAAAAAACAAATTAATGAGATTTATTGTTATTACATTATTATTATATATTTATTATCAACAGTTTGGCGGTATATTGATTCTGAATTGTACATGAATGAGTACATTTTGGAAAACCGTTTAGCAAAAAATGTCGGAACAAACGCTAATTGCCCTATTTAAGTTAACAAGGATGAAGCAATATATATTTACAAAATGAAAACCTTTCATTATTTACAGGCGGGAACGTACGATGTTAACGCAATGTTGAAATAGATCGATAACTGTTAAGAGCGAGCGCTTCTTTTTAAATGCGGAATTTCGATTTCCAACACTTTAACTTATCGTCCGACCGCCACAACCAAAGAAATCTACAATCACAAATAATAAATAAATAACAATAATTATGCCCGCTGATCAAATTCAATACTCCGAGAAGTATTTTGATGACAAATTTGAATACAGGTAATTAATTATCTCTTAATCCGAAAGCATGAACACTTATTTACCTTCTCGTTTATGCTTGCAGGCACGTTATTCTGCCGGCCGACTTGGCGAAGCATGTCCCCAAATCACACCTAATGACTGAGACGGAATGGCGTAACCTGGGCGTTCAGCAGAGTCCGGGTTGGGTGCACTACATGATGCATGCGCCGGAGCCGCATGTCATCCTATTTCGACGCAAGCACGTGGAGGAGGAAGCTCCTGCAACGCAGCCAGCGGTCACAAACAACGTTAATATTTGCGCATAGTTTGACAACATGGTTCAAGACGCTGGCAAGAGGCTAGTAGAGATGGCAGCGGACACAGTGTTAATGTTAGACAGTATTCAATAAGATTGGAGCTTATCATCAGTCACCTTGATGTAAAATAAGTTTGCATTAGTTTAAGGACACACCTTGATACATTGTTACAATTATAGCCATTAAGTCCTCTGTGGGTGTACACCCATTTGCATTTGGAAACATTTCAACGAATTTTTCATTAAGTTTATTTACCTAAAATACAAAACGTACGCCATGTGTACAAGTTACAAGTACTAAGACTAAAATTCGATTCAATATTTTGCTAGTGATAGCAACGCCAAACCGCAGGCGTTAAATAGTCCGCCCAGCGCTCGTAGGTCAGCTGACAATTGCGTTTCGCATAATACTCCATGGCATATAATGAGATCAGCATGCCATTGCCGAAGATGAGCGAGAACCAAAGGAATATGTTGCCTAGCGTTTTGGGTGCGCTACGCATGAGGAACACCAATGACACGCCCACAACACCAAAGAACACAAACATGACGGGGAAAAATACTTGTAGCGCAAATCCCAGCACCTGTTCATGCACTAGCGCCGATATCATAAACACCAAAAGCGACGCGGCCAGCTTGGAGCCCTTAAAAATGTACTTGTACACATCCCTATAGACGTACTCGTACAGCCAATCGTGGACGACCACATTCCAGTTGCGATAGTAGCCATCGTAGGTGTGCGATGTCCACCAGTCCTTGTAGAACATGCGATCCCCGAAGCGCAGCAGCTCCGACGTAAAGTTCAGCCATGAATGGAGGATCATATAAAAGCCACATAAAAATATCACTGCACTCGGCAGCATCATGCCAAAGAGCTTAACAATTATCTGAGATGCCCCCAGGGCCTCCTTGCCAAAGTTCCCGAAATGCTCGTTGATATGACGCTCGTGTATGAAGGCATAGAGGAAGGCAACTGCGACCATTTCCATAAGGCGGCAGAGCGCAAACTTCCAGCGAATGTGCGACGTGCGTGGGTAGCTATCTCGGTAGATTAAGGTGGGTGCAAACAGAAAATAGACATAGCAATGCAGGGGCGGTACATAGGGACGGGCAGAAGCCACATTGTCATCCGCCTTCTGCTTGCCCTCCAACACCCTTGCCGCATTGTAACGCACAAACGCGTGCATTTTCATCAGCAAACGAGTGCTCTCCAGCAGCAATATGCAGGCACTGACAAAGGGCAGCTGGAACTTGAGGCAAAGCGAGGTGGAGACATAACCAAAGACCAGCTGGGCGCTTATGTACATGATCAGGCAGCTGTGCGACCAAAAGCTTTGAAGCGATCCTGCAATCAGAGATAGAGAGAGAGAGAGAGAGAGAGAGAGAGAAGAAACAAGGTCAGATCCAGAATAGTTTTTGTTATTATTGGACTTACGATGGGATGGCAGCTTAGCACGCACCAGCGCCCAGCCCTGGAATGCAAAGTACAACGCCAGGACAAAGACATGCTCCAGCAACCAGACGCCTAGCACCCAGTGGAGGCGCCTGAGGCCGCCACGAAACGTGCCCAGTCCTAGATTGATATGGCCATCGACAAAGTAGTCATAGCAAATGGCGTTCAGCAAAAACATGACCAGAATTATTGAGAATATGTGATAGATGGTGCGCATGTGCTCCACCTGCAGCAGCGCCGTCAGGTACGATTCGCGCGTTAAAAACACCTTGTCGGGCAGCTGACGTCGCGTTCTTTGTTGCGGTTCCTGTTGTTCTCGTCGCTGCTGCTGCTGCTGCTGTTGTTTTGGCGTCGTCTGATTTTGGGCATCTGGCCGCCAATTTGGACTGTCGCTGACGTCACTTTCCGGCAATTTTGAAGAAGTGTGCTGCTGACGATTGTGCCAAGTGGAGCTGGGGTTGGCCACCCTGCCCCTGGAACCTTCGAACTGGCGGAACTCGTGCGCACGCAGCTCCTGCTGCCGCAAGTCCTGCAGCACATCCTCTATCATGCAGGATAGTCGCTGCTCGAAGTCGCACAGCATTTTACTCTGAAACTTTTGCAGCTTGTCGCGCAAGAATTGTATTTGTTCAACTGCAGCAGGTGCGTTGCAGGACTCTGCGCCAACTGTCCTCGACTCCTCGGCCATGGCAAAAGCTTTTAATATTTAGCACCTTGCAGCTTATAAATTTATAATCGCGTTGATCAATTTTAAAGCAGACCATTCGCTTGGACGTCTATTTCAACAATGTATCGAGAGCCCTGAGTCTTATTTGCTTCTGTCTGTTGTCATATGCACGAATTGATAACGGCGCTTTTGCTCAAAGCCAGCGGCGCAGTTGTAGGGGGATCTACTGCTTTGGGCGGCGCACAATTCAGGCGCTACGCCTCTGTCTTAAACAAATCGAGTCACACGCGCGCGCGCTCTTCGTCTCTTTCTCTCTCTCGCGCTGTACAAAGTGCGTCGTTGGTGTTGTTGCTGCTCTAATAGTTTAGCTAAGTACATTACAATTGAGGAACAAATTAGATTGCTCGCGCCTTAACGACCCGATTAGCTGTCAGCGGCACTTGAATCTTAATCAATCGGCCGGCCGTCTTACGAGAAACATATGTGGGTCTATGTTACTGATAAGGCCAATGTTCATTGGCCCGACGTAAACCAGTGCACTTGCACTCGCCATCGCACGCCCAACCAAAGAAACATACATACATATATACTTATACATACACACACTTTTGATTATATTAACGTGCATGCATGCTCATACATATTTGAATACTACTGAATATCCGTATCTTTGCCGTGAGTATTGCGTACCGGATTGCAGAACGGATTGCTTAATATAGCAAGGTCATGATTGTGCATATGCATATGCAGGTATTTACACATAAGAAAAGACTTAATTCATACGTTTATTAAGATAAGATATATTGTGAATGTTTTCAATGCCTTATTAGCAAATGCACCACATTTGCGCATCTGATAAGAAGGTTGTTGTCTAAACTAGGACATGTAACGAATTTCCCAAGAGGGATATTTTGAAATCAAGTGTCAATGGAAAAATGTCCCGTCAAATAATTGGTTCGGTTTAAAGATTTACGTTCCTGTATTTTGAAAAGAAATTAGTTTAAAAACCAAAACTTATGAATTTTTTTAAAAAATACTGCTGAGAATGGCTTTTGATAATCAAAAGATAATTATTTCAATGTGAGAGTTACTGAAAGGCGACTAAGGACTAGTTAATTTTTTGCTATAAATTAACCTAACTCAAATGTATTTATATATATTAATATATGTTTTGGTTATTCCATCGGTTTAATGCTGAAAGAAATCAGTTTTAACTTTTAAAAAGCAAGTTTTCAATTTATATAGCATAACTGCCAATGCAGGAAAGTATTTTATTTTAATTACTTATACAAATTTCAATGTTGGTAAGCACTTTTATATTTTTAATTAACATTTTTTAAATAAAATGTTGGTAATTTTCATATTTTTCGTCGCCCAAAATAGGCCAGCTTTGGCGCTGTATAAAGCTTTCGTGGCATATAGATGTGTATGTGTGTGTTTGTGTGTGTTTGTGCTTGGCATATTTAATTGCAAATATTTATGTATGCGTAAAATAAAAACTAAAATAACAAATACACGCGCATATGCCCCATGTTTTGATAACGAAAAATGAGCCAAAATTAAAGCTCACGGCCATGCAGGACACATGTTAATGTGCATGCATGTGTGTGTGTGTGTGTGAACGTGTGCGTGTGCGTGTGCGTGTACTTGTATGGAAAATAATATTAATGCTGTGCAGACGCAATAACCAAAAATATTTATTATTTATGCGGAATAAACAGCAGTGGCAACAGCACACACACACACACACACACACACACACACACACACACACACACACACACACGTATGCCCAAACAAAATATGAAATTAATGCAAAAATGACAAAAGCAGCGCGCAAAAGCAGAATAGTCGAAATCCACAAAGTGCGCTAGTATAGAAATAATGAATGCCGCCAGCCCAGTAAAACATAAAAGTCAAACTCAGGCCCAACAAATATTCATAAAGAGCAGCAAAAGCGGGCTTACATTATGCAGGCAGATCTGCCAGATAGCAATACATATAAAAAGACCATTTTATTGCTCCAAAAAAGAACGGCATGCTGGCAAGGATAATAAGAGAAAGAAACAAGAAAAAAAAACCAAAAAATAGCAACAAAAATAATATGCGAGCTTATAAAAATCTATATAATTCATAAACACACACAGACACACAGAGGCTGAAGCAAACACGTACGCCGCGCTTGGCGGCCATATTGGGTCATAAAAAGCATGCACACACACACACACACACACACACGCACACTAGGAGCGAAATAAAAGCCTGACCACAGTCGAACAGCAGCAACAACAACAACAACAATAGTGACAGCCACAGCAGAAAAAATTTTATGACGCAAACTTTGTGAAGCAGAAACATATAAAAAATGTTGCATATTTTCAGGAGGCAGCATTGAAAATTGTCCCATCGCTCTCTCTCTCCCACTCCCTCTTTCGCTCAGCGTGTGCTTGTGTGCGTTGTTGCTTTATAGACGCATAGCTTTGGGTACTGTGTGTTTGGAGAATGTAAGAAAAAATAGCGCAATTTTGTAATTTGCTAAAAAGGCACATAAAAAGCAGTCGAAATGGCAGGCGAAATGCCAGCGCAATGTCAGCCACAAATAATGCGCATATAACGAGACACTGCACGGAGAGAAAGCTATGCTATTTTTTAGAAAAATCAACTATGGAGTTAGACAAAGAAACTTCGGACTATTTATACAATCACATAAATAGCTGTAACTATGCATTTAATGAGAATTAAATGTATAAAAATAAACATATTACTTAAGCATATTCCAAATAAATTGTTTTGCCTTAAACTTTGGCCTGCTAGACTGATAAGTCATATATATACGACTGTATTGAATACTACTTTTATAAAATATATAACCAATATGTGCTCAAAAGGTTCAAGTTCTGTTATATCATGTCTTTCCTTACAAGCCAGTTTTTAGCGCGTCTGAAATGTTATACTCAGCTTTTCTCAAGTCCTTCTAAGAACGGAACAGAATACAAAATTAGGATGATTATAATATATATGTGTAACTATTTAGATATTTTAAGAGTTAAACAATGAAAAAGTAAAAGGTTTTTTAATGTAGCTATGATTATCATTCATAGGGACCCGATGTACTACATTTTTAGCCTGGGTAAAGAGAATACCCAATTTGCTTAATATTCTATATTCCAGCTCTTCACTCCTTTTAATAAATTTTTAACTTATTATATTTTAAATTTTTACTTAATACTTTTACAATACTTACTCTCGACTAATATCTTCCTATAGATTCTTATAACGTCCCAAGCTTAGCTGTGAAAGGGGCATAACTCTCCGGACGGGCCTGTAAAATAAATCCTGCGTGTCGGTTTATATGTTTGTTTTAATAAAAAACGAAGAAAATATTGGCGGTAAGTTGCGAATTCAGGTACCACAAAAGTAGAATCGGGATAAATGGGAGCCTATCTAACATATTTGAAATGATTCTTCTAATTATCTTTAAGATTCATCATCTTTTGTTTTGATTTGATTTAAAAAAGAGAGTGAATAGCTGGATAATGTTTTGATTTGGATAGGAACGCAAATTGTGAAAGTCTTTATCGATATCGATAACGATGTCGATAACGATATTCATTAATTCAGTTATTTAAGGAGAACTGTCAATCTTTGTCAACTAAAGCCATGGCAGGCAGAGTCTATCAAATTCCAGGTCTACGAATGCGAAAATTTTTCTCAGCGTGAGCTTCCACAATACGCACACATTCTAAGCAGAAATTGGAAGGTTTGGCAGGACGCGCTGCTCCTCCATTTTGGCAAACGTTATTAGCGTCTAGCACATGGCCAAGTCAGTGCCATTAAAGGGGGCGTGGGTATGCGAAGGCGGGTCTTGGGGCACGTTTAAAAAATAAAATAAAGCTGCTGCGCCTGCCAAGCGGCTTCCTTCGCGTCCATGACCACGTCCTCGCCCCCATCATCGTCCTGGTCGGCAACGTCGCAATGCTGCACAGTGTGCTCATAAAAATATGCTTGAAATTGGTTTGCCATGCGAGAAAAACAAACGAAAAATCAGAAAAAATCCGCTTCAAATGTAATAAGGTTTGGACGAATATGCGCTACCCTGCCAAGAAGTCGCACATATGGCTATCAATTAAATAATATTTTTACTAATTATTCTAGCTTTGACTAAATGTAAGGCTGTTGAGATTTCAGGCTTAACAAAATTAAAGTTTTGTCTATGGCATAGTTCTTCTTAACATATTACAGGGTATACAAGACAAAAACTCTTAGTTACATTTAATGTCGCCAACGACAACAGCAACGGCAAATGTCGCGGCAGGCGCAGGCCATGTGCTCCAAGGACCACGCTCCACCGAACAGGAGTACATCTAGAAGCTAGAGCAGAGTGGCTGCGGCTGCTCCTGCGGCTGTCGCAGACGAATCGTTTGCTTTTGATTGTTTTGCAAACAAAGCGAAAGCGAAACAAGCGACCAAGTAACCAACCACCCACACACACACACACACACACACACACACACACACAGCCCACACACACACACACAGCCCACACACACACTCACTTGCAATACTTTTTGCTTTCTTCTTTTTCTTCTTGTTTTTTGCCCCAAAATGAAAAGAGAAAAAAACGTGGCAACTTTTTTCGAGGGTGGATTTTCATTTTGTATGCTTCATGATTTGGAACTTTATTCGCCAGTCGCCCCTTGCCAAGCCGTGTGTGTGTGTGTGTGTATGCATGTGTTTTTGTTTGTGTGTAGATTTTTTTTACCATTTCATTATTTGCAAATTTATGCGGGGTGGCATTTTTGTGACTCAGTCGTTTGTTGTTGCTGCTTTTGTTGCTGTTGCTGTTGCTGTAGTTGTTGTTGTTGTTGTTGTTGTTGTTGCTGATGCTACTCCACTTCCATTCCGCTCATCGATTTTCGGTTTTCATGTCGAGCGATTTTTTTATGTAGATTGGCCATTATGTGGAATTAGTTTTTCTGCTGGATTTTCTCTTTTTGCACTCGTTGATCGCTTGCCCGTCTGTCTGTGTGAGCTTGTGTGTATGAGTGTGTGTGTGCGTGTGTGTGTGTGTGTGTGGCACATAGCAATGGCGTGCGCCATAAAATGTTATTGGCTGCTGTTAGTAAATGTGAATGTGTGGAATGGTTGAT